TAAATAAGATAATAAAAATTCAATTTGCATAAATGAAGAGTCTAAGTGGATTAATAGTCAAAGAGGAATTATGGTCTAAAAACCCATTAGTCAGGTATTCTTCAAAGAGCATAATTAATAAAGAAATACCTCTTTTAGAGATAAAAGAGAAAAACCCTACTATTGGGCAAGAGGCTTCTTACCCGAGAGAGAAAAAATAAAGGATCATCTCTATACCCTAGCCTTGTGTAGACAAACACAGGCAGAGCATATTCATGAGATGTCATAGTAGAGATCCTCATAGATTCTTGCACCCGAAATTTTGAGAAGTGCAAAACAGTTTCATGGTCTCTGAAGGATTTCTTAATAGCAATAGAAGGATATAAAGCTGCACTACTATTCCAGAGCCAAGAGAGCTCATTATTCTTCAATACTGCCTCTTCTGGGCATGAACCTGTATAGTTTGGTTCATTCATATTATAATTGTGGCAGTCAGGATATAAATAATAACCCCAAAGACCCTTGGGTCTCTTTTTAATTCCCAATTTGATGGTTTTCATCATGAATTCTTTTGCACTTTCTTCAAAGGTTGCTTTGGCTAAATATTCAATATCAGTAGATTTTACATTGCATTGCATATCAGAAATCAACTCTTTTGACTTCCGTCTGTAAACATCTTTTGCATTCCAGTTCCGAGTCCACTGTGGACGCCAATATTCCCAGTCTATAATAGCAAGTCCACTGAAATCTTTAGCAGGTATGTAATAGTCAATGTCTTGGCCAGCTTTTTTCAGATGTACTTCCAAGCTTATATTCTGAGGGAGACCCCCATTAATGGGGACACCATGTGATGTATACCAAGGATAATATCCCAATCTGTTAGGATAAAATATAGTGACATTTTGCCCACGGGCCTTCGACAGTGTGCTTCCAGTCACCTGAAACATTTGCAGATTCAGTGTTACATTATATTTCTTCAGACATTGATCTGTTGGAGTATTCCAAGCAGCTATAAAAGGTTTCCTTTGATACATCGGAAGTTGGGCAGGTTTTAGAGAACAGACAGAATTCAGATTAAGAAATATGAGCAGCCATGATGTAAGATGTATTGATTGAATAATACAAAGCCTGAATTGCCCTTCTGGTGATAGTTTCATGATAAGAAAAACTTATGCTGTCTTCTGTCTTAATGCACTGCAGAAGACCTGTGGAGAGATTTATGATTAATGATTTTTTGAATAAAAAAGACTTAAATATTGGATAGATATTATATACTTACATTTTGAAAGGACATTTTAGTGCTTTTTAATCCCCAGTACCACAAATAAATAAGTACATTTTATTTTAAAGTCTTAAAAAGATCTATAAGTTGAGATACAAAAGCAAGTATGGTGGCCAGGCTTTGGTTCAGAAACAAGCAATGTAATTCAATAAACATTTGTGAAGAACCCAGACCCCATGACTAGAACAAAAAAATGAATAAGATATAACCCTTACCTTCAAGGAGCTTATAATAAGAAACAAATGTGAAAAAACATTCATGATCAATTTGGAAAGCTCAGGAATCCCAGGTATTATGCATATGTGCTTTGTAAATAGTATCTCATTTAATCTAATAACTGTGTGAGGCTTATAATTACATTTGTGTTTTACAAATAAAGATACAGTGTCTTAAGGAGAAGAAGAGGCTAGGGTGGTTTCCCATTACTTGAAACATAAGGCAATGTAAACTTTTAATAATTACAAGAAGTACAGAATAATTTATTAAAGCAATTATTTCTTCCAGAGGTAGGAAGTAACTAGGAAGAGAACATGCTGAGTGGCAAAAAATACTGTAGAGAAGATATGACAGTCAAGGTGAGCTGAGTTTATTAGTTGGAGTTTAGATGATGAGAGAGGGAGAAGATAACAAGTATTTTGTCTAGTTTCTTTTTTATTCATCTGTTTGTAAAAACAACTACAAACTAATCATTTTTTAACAATCTCATCAAAGCATTCAATGGCAAACAACATTTGCACTCTTCTGCAAAATTAAAATGAAAATGTACAATGGTTATCCCTAGCACAGTGATAGTACGATCTACAATAGGCATTTGTCCTTTTACTAGTGCCCAGGGTACTGACTTGCTTCCTATGTAGTGAATTCTGTACTATAAGTGTCTATTTAGGAGGCAGTGCCTATAATTCACTAAATAAGCCAACATGTCCAAATGCTTTCCCAGACTTTCTTGCAGATTGGGCGCTAGTATGGACTTTGGCCAACCCAATTAGATGCATTCTACTATAAACTTTGAAAGAGGATCTTGGGATTCGAAGAAGCTGAGAAGTGGTGTTGCTAGTAGTGACAGAAATTTCATTGTCCAGGGGCAACTGGCCCTAGGACTATCAGAACCTGATGTCCATGGTGCTACCGTTAAGTAGCAACATTGACCTTGTGGGACAGAGATTTTCAGGTCACGTAAGCTAAGTTCTATTTTGGTTGCTTACAACTGGGTACTCCATTTGATGGAGGATATTTCCATGGAATTTGTGGCTGATGAGTATTTCCTCTAGCAAACCCCCATCATCTGTATTGCTTGTTGTATGTAATTTTCATTTTTGTCTAGATGTCCCCCGTAAAGCCTCATGTGATCATAGGGGCCTTTTCAGAGGTGGCTGAGTCTAAAGTGTGTGATGCTGGGGCTAAGGGTGTGTGATTACTAAACCAGTACACTGATTGGTTTGACACTACCCTAATCCCAGTTGTATGGATAAAATAAAAGGGGCAGAAAGATGCTGTTAAGTTTCCCTTGTTGCTTTTGCTGTCTTCTGCTTCCACAAACTATTGCCCCTGTCTTGTGCCACCTTGCTTTGGAGCCAGCTGATTATGGACTGAAACCTCTACAAACTGTGAGCTAAGTAAACCTTTTCCCCTTTAACTTTGATTGTTGCGGTTTTTGTCTCAGCAACGAGAAAAGTAATTTAAGACACCTAGACAGTGAGGGAAATTCTGGGCATAAAAAATCTACTCATGGTATATTAAATGCATTTGCATTTTCTAAGCGTGCAAGCCTTCTTAGATGTAAAAATTCTAAAAACATCTTATCTGGAGCCTGGGGATTTAGCTAAGTGCTACCACACCTGTCTTACAAGTGCAAGGTCCTGAGTTCAATCTCCTGTACTCCCTCCAAAAAATCTTATCCTACTGATGACCTCTAGATGAGAGTTGTTTATGATGATAAACTTTTTCAGGTTTATATTTATATTATTGTTATATAATTGTATTATGATAATTAGATGTGCCTAAATATTATAGATTTGATATAGTTTCATTAAAATGATTAAAGATTAGACATTAGTAAACTATCAAGTACTTCCATAAATGAGTACATTCCACTTAAAAAGGCACCTTGTTAAAAAAAAGTAACAAATTTAGGTAAAAATTTCTTTGGGTCATTTAACATTTTATAATTAGATAAATATAACCAATTAAAGGAGTATTTTACACTAATATAAAAATTTAAGTATATTTCAAAGATAATAACCTAACAGTTCTAGTATAATAATGTCATCATAATAGTTAAGCTAAGATGCTATGTTTGCTCTTGATTTTAAATTTTCTTTGTAAGACGTCTTGTTATCTATGAACATTGTATGAAAATTTAATTTCTAAGATAATCATGATTGATAAAATAATAACAGTTCTCTGGCCATACTATATATTTCAAAGCATTCAATAACCAAATAAGATTATGATAGTTAAACCTACTGCTCTGAGTTCAATACTACTGTAAATGACCTCCTGGGAGTTCAACAACTAAGGCTCAGAGACCAAATCTAAAAAACAGTAACCAGGTTAAGAAGACAGCCAATATTTTGGCCCTACCCTTCCAAACTCAACAAAGACTCAAGACTTTTTTAAAGGATCCTATGTCTCCAGCGAGTCATCCAACTTGCGGTACAGGAAGATTGTTGAACCCCAAAAGATGAGAGTCAACCAGTGTACATTGTGCTTAAAATTAGGTCACTAAAATAAATAAATACATAAATATATAAATACATAAATGTCCCCATATTTTCAAGGAAAGTCATGTGGTCAGACAAAAACCATGACCCATTCTGCCAAATAACACAACTGGTTAAAAAAAAGTCTCTGTCCATGGTGCCAAAAATAACACCATGTCTAAAGAGCCTAAACTAACTTTGATATATAGTTTTCATTAACACAAATCTCACTTTAACTTATTTTAAATACCCCAAATCATATATATATATATATATATATATATATATATAATATGCTAAATATATCAAAGGGGGTTCAAATGCTGCATCATCCCCAGCTGCACCTGTAACTTATAGCCCTAATAATCTAAAATCAAAGTCAAACAATTCATTTTTTTCTTAACCCTTATACTATTCTCCAATGAGAAAACTAATGTTTTCTTTAACTAGGCCCAACAATATGCCAAAAACATTAACAAGGATACATGATAGGTTTGTAGACAATTGCCCAATGCTAATACATCTAGGCTACCATGGTAAAATTTCTTCCTATAGGGAGAGATTAAATAAAGATTCAAAATTTTATAAAACAGCTCAAAGTGTGGTATCTATCTTAAACTTTGCTACCAGGTCTAATGTCTCTCAATGGTCAATAAATGAAAGCCAAAAAAATTTTTTTTTCTGTAGTCACAAAAATACTCAAATATAAAAATATTGAGATCCTGAACTCCTAAAACTTCTAAAAACTCCTAAACTCCTAAAACTCACATGATAAGAGATAACCAGGTAAGTATTTTCAAATCTGAGATAAACATATTTGGCCGACATCTACCATGGGGCAACTCAGCCAAGTAGCACCCATTTTTTGAAGAAAAAAAACCCTACTCATAATAAATAAAACAATGCCACCCAAAATATGGGATAAACTCATATTCAAGGCTATAATCACACTATTGTGTTAAAAAATACTATCTTGGTTGCTACCAACCAGAGGGCAAAAGCTAAAATAAAATGGCCAGTCCCATGGTACACAGTGGATCTGGCACAAACTTATGGACTTGGTTACCTCCTGGGTAAATAAAACAATACACATTAGGATATCCATACATTCAACTGTGCTGAGTTAAAACCATAGATCAACCAGCTAACTTCTCAGTCTTGCAAAATCAAAATGACATAATCGGTTTTTCACTGGTATGATTATCTATCTTTATTCCAAAAATAAAACAAAAAAATACACTAAAATGGAACATATTAAAACTTTTACTAACTATATACAGAAAGCTCTAAGTGATACTACAAAAGACATTTCATTACTAAATTCAAAAATAGGGCTGGGGATTTAACTCAGTGGCACTGTGCCTGCCTCACAAGCTCAAGGTCCTGAGTTTGATCTCTGGTACCAAAACAAAACGAGACAAAAAATAAATAAACAAAAATGACTTTAAAAACCATTCTACAGAACCAAATGACCCTAGATACAATGACACAAGGTAAAACATATCATTATCAAAACAAAATATTGTGTATACATTCCTAACAACTCTGTACATGTGTCTTCTACATTACAAAATCTACCTTCACAAATTGATGCAGTGTCAGACTCTCCCATAAGCTTTAGTAACTGGCTAACATCCTGGTTCTCTAAAATAACCTGGTTTTTCAAAGTTCTCATTTTTCTGGCTATAATACTGTGAATTAAAATTCTTCTAAGTTACATGATCTATTGTTGTTGTTGGTTAATTTCTCATATGCATTTCTCTCTTTGTAAAACTATCAAAAGATGATGGTTGTTCAAAAGACAAAATGTGATATTCTTATATCTCCTTTATTATAGACAAAACAAGACAGTCAGTCCCTAGCCAGAAAAGATCAATGCCCCTTCTCAACCTAAAACAGTTACATAAAGTGAGACTGTTGGGATTTTTGTACTCCTTAAAAATTATCAACCACAGTCTCAGGAGAGGACAGAATGAGGTAGGATAGAAAAAATAAAAACCAGGTTAAAAAGGAGATAAGAAAAATCAAAATTTTAAAACTATACTTTCGGGACCAGGGATTTAGCTCAGTGGTTTGGCAGCCTGCTGTGTAAGCACAGGGACCTGAGTTCAATCCCTGGTACAAAATAAATAAATAAATAAATAAATAAATAAATAAATAAATAAATAAAATT